CTTTGGTTGGAGAAAGGTCTATTGCCCAGTAAAGATGACAATCAGACCTAAATGTTGGTCATTTTTTGACTTAAGTATTGTATCAAAGTCTGTAATACTATAAATTTTTACATCTGTTTAATACAACAAAAACGTTATTTTATAAAATTTATATCACCTTAGAGTCAATAAGCAAGTACAAATTTCTCTCCACAGATTTCGAACCGTTGCTGCAGATATGTTGTGCTGCAGGAATAACAGTCATATCATCGTGGAAGTAACCCAAAGGTCTACTGCTCCGAATGAGACGATGACCAGCGAGCAACAACAGAACGACAACCAGGACATGCTACGGAACCAAGCGAGGTCACAAGAAACGTCTATGGTATTGAAAGGTTTTTGTGATCTCTAGAGATTGCGAAGACACCAACTGCACTTTCTACATAACCCTCAATAGAGCAATTTTTTTTGATTGAGTGTCGAAAGTCATCTTAAACTTTATTGGTTTTTGTAATGTTCCTCCCTATATTTGGATAAATATCTTACCTATGAAATAAGCTGCATTTTATTGGTTAGCACACCCTTGTCCACAATCACTTGATTGTCCTTATATATCATCGTATGCAATTATATTCATCATATTCTAATAAAGCAGTTGTGTAGAGATCTTGGTCTGTTTCACTCATTACTCTATAGTAGTATATCGAGCCCGAATACACAACAGTTTTGCTTTACCTAGCTCTGTGATTGGTCCAGAAAACTCGCCTCACTCTCTTAATCGATCAGATGCAAAAATATAGCAATCACGACTTGGTCGCCCGCGTTTTCCCGCGCTTTAGGCAATTTGGTTGGTTAAACTTAGAGTCAACATTGGTTTTTTAAACCTTTGACTCCCATGGTTAATGTCGAGCAGACAAGGGACGAGAATAAAGAAAAATATAAATTGGGGGATTATCCGTTGATCCTATACTAAATTCTCTGAATCAACATCGTAAGAATTGTATGATAAAAAGTAAGGAGAATTACCAATGAGATCTTGGGAATAAATGGATGAAGGTATTTTTCTTTCTTCGGATTGACCGCTGTGATGACCTTTGCTTTTGGTTTTTACCCTTTAACTCCCATGAGTGACGAAAACAGAATTTCTCCTTACGGTATTAATGCAATATCAACCAGATAAGTGATGAGAATAAAGAAAAATAACAATTTGGATATAATTAGTTGATCTTATACGAAATTCTCTGAGCTAACATCACAAGAACTGTAAGGAGAATTACTAAATTAAATGATATCTTGGGAGTTTTATAAAGGGTTAAGATATTTTATTGATTAGCGCTCGAAGATGAGCCAAGGTGGCGAAATTAAACTATTTCAAATTTTTGCACGCATTGATACTTCATGAAAAAATTAAACTTTCTCTCTGCAAGAAAACCTAAAACTTGTGGTGAGTGATTAATTTCGGCAGAAGCAGGTGCCATTCCAAGCAGCCGCCATCACTGAATACGGTGAATGTTTTTAGCTATGAATTCCGACTTTCTACCGACAGGTGCGTCGTTTCTCGTGCCTAGTTTTGATTAACTGGAACCGGACTCTAAGTCGTCAAATTCTGTTTGTTATCACAATTTTGACTAAAAAATCACCTGTTTAATAATTCCAAATTGGACTCCACTCGGTCGTTTCACAAATATCAATATTTTTTCGAGAGCTGGTTTTTTAAAACAGAAACTGAAAACTGGCCCAAATTGTGTGACCATCCATTAGGATAGTGTAGAATGGCAGAGAGCCCTGTTTGCTCCGAATTTTTAAGGATGGTGACGACAAAATACTGCTAAGATATCAGACTTTTTTCAAATATCAATTATAGCCATATCCTAAATACCCGGAGAAACCATGTTATCGGTGAAAGGAAGGTTGCACGAAGCTCTGTTCTTCACCTCACGGTATGCCATCTGTACAGGCATGCGGTGATATTAATTCTTGATGTCAAGTGAGGAGTTATGAAAATCTAAACAAGTGAAATTAGAAAGCTGTTTAATTCCCACCTCCATCAGGCAAATTTATTTTTAAAAGTGTTCCAATGACAAGTTTTTGTCTGGTAGAAATCTTTGTTTTAGAAAAGACCGATTTTGCTCTTTTCTTATTTTCGGTTAAGCGGCATCAATAGGCGAAATAATTAAAAAAAAGGATAAACAAAAAGGAAATTAGTAATAAAAGATGAAAAATATATAAACAATTAACAGGTGAGACACTCAGAAATCAAAAATTATTTTTTTATCGGTGGACGTTTTGTTTCTTAAAAACGCTTTGGCATTAAATTAGGAACCATAAAATTTAACAGAACTTGACTCCTTCAGCGAAGAAATTGCATTCCTTTCACTGTTATGCTTAGTGAACTGTCCCTAGCACATTTTTCAGCACAACTGAAAGCCAACCCAAGGCAGTAGCTCCTGTGAGATGTGTTATAACAATCGTAGAATTCCTTATTGCAGTCGCGACAACAGAAAAAGAAACATTTTGCCCAGTACGTCTGCTGTTGGATTTCAATTTTCCCTGATTCATCACAGAAAATTGGGCTGCTTTCAATCTGCAAAAGAATATCAAGTACAGTTGTTTTATTTCAAAAATATATTTTGATTACGTGGGCTACTGTCTACACTAAAGAAATATTATGCGCAGCCTCTTTCCCAAAATCTATCGTCTCGTCTTTTCATCACTATCTCTGTCTCTCTCTGGCCCCGTCAGGGAAGGGGAGGGGGGAAGAAAGACTCTGGGAACAAGGATTATGAGTATTTTCCTCATTAAGCTAAGGATCTGCTTTATATCATAATATTAAGCTGTAAGTCTTGCATGCTTTGCCGTAGCAATTTAAGATAAAGCGGTCAGCGATATTCGTCGCAGAACCTGGTCCATTGCTGTAATCTCCCCAACAATTTATCAAGTCTCACCTGAGACTCCTAAGCAAAGGTATTTACAGTATCAGGAAGAATTTCTTTGAACAGGCCGAGCCAATTTTAGACATAGCACAGTTTGTTTCTTCAAAAACATGTTTATTTATCTGTTACGATCATTACAAGCATAACTCAGGGAATAATTAATATTGTCCTTAGTAGGAACAAGACCTCGCAACATCACTCTGTTGTATTTCACCACGAGAGGTGTGTCTTTGACACAGGTAACAGTTTATTACACTTAATATCGAAACGACTTTGTTTAGTTCTCAGATCTTCTACAGTCACCTACATTCACTAGGGACTAGGATTGAAAGATCGGTTAACTGTGAAAGTTCTCAAGAGGATTGTTCGCTTCCAAACAATTGCGCATGCACTTGTACGATCCCCTGTAACAGTAAGGCTTGCCTCCATTGTTTTCGTTTCCGTCCGTTGCGACGCACGTTAAATGATCGGAATTGCACTGGCGACAGCAATTGAACATGCGCGGACTGAGGAAATCACAGGAGCTGTTTTTGAATACAACTGTTGAGCCCAGGACACAGTTTATTGGCGTGTCTTCATGATTATGGAGTTCACTGGTTGGCTGTTGAGAAAATCAGATCAGATTAAAAGCAGGTTATCCACAAAACTCTGATATTAGGCTGCGAATTAAAGGTAAATTGAAACTTAGATTCGTCTAGTTTCTCGAAAAGAGGGCATTTCTCAGTTTTGCCACTGGAAATGAAATTGAGCCAATCGAAAGTATATCTGGAAGAATATGAGATGAAAAAATCAGACTTCCATTTTCGCTCTCGTTTCTTCATCCAATCTATTGGCAATTAAGCTCTTAGGGAACATGGATTTTTATCACGTCTCACGCCGACTTTTTGTTTTTTTGCCGTGATTCATGCATTTTACTCTCTCTATTGTTAATTTTCAATTTCCTAATGGTAGTTTAATATTATTTCAATTACACAGCAATAAATGTATTATGCATAACAAATGTAATGCTATCCTAAGAAGCAGCATGTATGTATGCATGCATAGCTCAAATTTTCTCGACAATTACCGTGAACACTGTAGCAGTTGATTGTGTGCTGTAATCTTATATGCGCAATAAGAAGATGACATATTCCATCAAAAGGCAAATGAATATTCAGAGAAACAAGAAACTCTATTTACCGTTCTGTGATCTGGTACTTTTGCTCCTGTGACTTGACGCTAAGAAGCCTACACTGTAGTATTTCCCTCACGAGGCAGATGAATAATCGGAGCCAGCAAGAAAAACCGAACGTAATATTCAACCTTACATCGCTCTTCTTTGATCAGATAGAAAACTCAATTGCGTGCGAAAAGGCTGAGGGCCGCGCGAGCTATCAAAACAACGCATCTCTCTTGCCATACTGCTTGCCGTCATTTATAATCAGGCTGGTGAAGATGATTGAATTTCTCAGAAGATTTCACTAGAATCTTTCTCGTGATGATCACTTTGCAGCAAGTGACAGAAATGTAAGGGAAAGTTTGCCACGTGAATTATGCGGCTCTCATGCAGTAAACTCCCTCATTTAAAAAAGAGAAGGATACATACATGCAGCCATCTTTGCGCAGTTTTAACGACATTTCCTCCTATTTTCATTTAAGACACGATGTCCTATTAAAATTGCACATGGTCAAAAATTTCTTGTATAGATACAGAATGAGAGTTTAGAACTGCTTTAGAATCTTGCAAGCCTAATGGCGCGCCAGGTGTATTGTAGCCTCCTTGTTTAGAGAGTGGTAGCCAATCAGTAACTAGTAAACTTCCCAGAATAATTTCGTCAATTTTTTCTGACATTTCATCATCGTCCATTTATACCTCTCAGTAAGGAGCTGCTCGGGATTTTGCTCATAAACACAATTAAAAGACCATGCCATGCTCTAAACCGAAACTCTCACCCCCCCCTTCCTCACCACACCCCCCCTCCTCCCCGAGTTTATCCGGATTCAAACTTACTTTCCACTGGGTCGCCGAGTCTGTGTAATACTCTTTCTTATCTCATTACTAGAAAATTACCTGAGTGGGGTTTAATGTTGGTAGAGTCGTTGGTTGAGTTGTTGGTTTAGTTGTTGGTTGAGTCGTTGGTTTCTTCGGTCTTGATATTGGTGTCGGCAGAGTTGCAATGGCTTGACTTGGTGATGGGGTGGACTGGGGATATGAACCTGAAAGATTTAAAATCAATTATTTTACATGCTCAACTTTTTGAATAGAAATGTAGAAGTCAAAACATTTCAGAGCTTCAAAAGTTATCTCTGACGCAGAGAACATAAATTTTTGGGGACAACTTTTTGCATCAGTGGCAACGCACATGTTAAAAATAGACTAATTTGTGCGATTCATGATTTATCGTGACACACGTATCATCTCTTTTTAAGGGTGCGCCCGTGGCGAGGTAGTTAATTTATATCTGCCGGAATAACGCCTATTCTCTCTCAAGAAGAGCACTTGACCTCGGACTTTATTCAAAGGATTCTTCAAGATACTTACATGAATTAATTCCTTGAACCTTGAAGAGAACACACGTGGTCTTAAACGGCGAATCCGAATTCCGAGCACCACATTGCACTGCTACTCTGACCAGACGACCAGCAAAACTCTGTGGCATTGTAAGGCCAGACTTGAGCTGAAAATTAGGGAAACAGCAGCTAAGCTGATGACACAGTAAAGTGCGGTGGCCACGTCGCGTATTTTGGACAAATTTTCCCACAGTTTTCAGTCATCGTATTAATAAATTGCTTCGCCAAAGAGAATAGGAATGTGAATTTTCTTACAGCATACACCTTAATAAGAGAGATTACAGAGGAAATTTAATTTCTTTGAGGAGAAAACGAACGAAAAAAATTTTACGAGTTCTTAAAATTTGGCTCAGTAGATGAGTAGGTTACAGCACCCAGTTTTAGAATTGTTTTTATACCTTTATGGAGAGTTGACTGATGGACCAGCCACTAGTTAAATCTATGGTGTCCGCCACATTTTCCAACTTCCATGTTCCGTCACACCTTAGGTAGTTAACATGAACCTCATCTTTAAAATAAAAGCTGCAGTTCTGGTTGGCAGGCACGTTGATCGTTTTCTGACGAACGGAACCGGATGGAAAAAACGGCAGTGAATTATCATCTGTCTCATCTGCAAACAGTAAATCACAGCCTGAAAAAAAAAAACAATAACAAATAGCGTTTTAAGTCATGATGCAGATTTGAATCCCATATCATCCAACTCATACCCAAAGTTCTTCTTTGACATGACATAATGGTTTGGATCATCATTGATAAAGAGGTCGTTGAAAAGCATCCGGTTCGAGGAAGTAATTAGGCAATAGCGCCTCCTGAACGCATTATATTATGATGATAATCATGTCATAAAAAGGAAAAAATAAAGCCATCTAAACTAATATTGTACATCTAGTTAAAGCAAAGCAGCGGAAATGTGACGGACAAACAGACAAATGGCTGTGGAAGGTGACTGTAGGGAAATGTATGGATGAGGAAAAAAATACTGCTCTAACAAAGGATTCGGAAACTGTTAACTTTTCACTGCCAAGATCTTATTATCGATTCTCCCCACTGTCCGCCACACAAATTTTAATGGCGTTGATTTGGAGAAATTGGTACTGGATCAACTAATAATCCCCTAACTGATATTTTCTCTGTTCTCATTCCTTATCTGCATGTTGTTGTATTGATGTTACAAGGAGAAATTCTGTCTTGATCCCTCATGGCAGTTAAGGGGTTAATGAAACTGAAAACATAACGGTGGAGTTCCACTCCAAAAGCCGATACAAGTCAGCATCACGTACATAATATATTGTACACTCGTACAATATATTAACGCTTCAAAATATATGTTACGTGATCATTGTTATCACTTAAGCGATATTAACTTTTTTGTTTCCGAACTTGTTATTACTTTACCTCTTTATTCATTTATAAACAATCCTAATTTAAAAGATATGTAGATCAAAACAGCTTTCGGACAAAATGTGTCAAATTTCCCGCGTCAAGGAATGAATAATTTGAAAAAAAAGAAAAATCACAGTTAGGTTTTTTTACGTTTGGGTGTAGCCTATGTGTTATTTCTGAAATTGGTCGATATATATTTTTTTTTTTTCTCTTTTTGAAGCTATTCCTTAAACTTTTGAGTCATTTTCATTTTGCTATTTTCTGAAGCTTATTTTACGCCGTGGAGATGACAAGATGTTCGATCTGTGGGACCAAAAAGCCCAAAGACGCAACTAAGAAGGAACGCAGAAGGCTAAGGATCATGGCAGGATTAAAATGGACTCTAAATAATCAACTTGAAATAAATATAATGAAAACAAACCAGCGACAGAGTACCGTTTAAGAACATCATTGCATTAAAACAGCCTTAAATCACAAAACATACCTGCATTTCGTCGAGCTTCAGAATTTTGCTCGCATTGGAAGTCTTCTTCGTAAAATGAAAAGGTGTTTGGGCAACTGCACCAGCAACCTCCCAGCGGGTGGGCTTTGAACAGGCTGCATGATGGACGGAAAGAGGGACATAAGGAGTCTGGCAAAAGAAAATCGTCCGTAGGAAAGCTGGGTAATCGTTCCATTTCGATCAAAACGGCGAAGGATGGGTCTGACAGAGCTACCAGGGGAAGAAATGTCCAAAATATGTCCATCAATTTAAAACGGTTCTTAACGAAACTGTGCATTCTGTCTTCGTCAACAATTAGGCATGTTCTTCAAGAAGCGAGTTGTTGCACGGTATCCTTTGATAGATGTTGAATTATGTGGAGGTTTTCACCGTCAATTCTTGAGTGCAAACACCTTAACTTTTCAACTCTTTCGTTTACCCAGTATGAGTGCAATTTCAATGGATGAACTAAACAGTGACTGATAGAGCTCAGGTCGCGAAAAATGACTTTTTGGAATGAAACTGCAAACCAATATCACACAATATATATTGACACAACAAACCACAAAATTCCTGTGTAAGAATTGTTGACCAATACAAGCTCTGACATACTCAACCATGAACATACGCGTGCATTTTCATTCTAACGACGTGCTTGCCTTGCATTGCAAACATTCCATTTCAAATGCATGTTTTTTTCTGGATTTATCGTAGTATTGCGCTGCAATAAGAGCCTGTGAAACATTTACGCTTATTTTTTAGAGTTAATAGATTTCGGGCACGACGCCAAAATCCTGACGCTAGTGAGCTATTACGTTTACGAACTGGTTTCTTTAACCGCTCTACCTTAACTTGCAAAACCTATTCTTAAGAAGAGCTATGCATTACGTGAAAAACGCTTTCGCCTGGCCAGCTCTGACAAAATGATCATATAAGTTATAGTACTTATCGAAAGACAAAAACAACAACAACAACAACGACAGAGTTGAGCCTTCTGGAGCATTCAATTTGGTCTAATTCCAGAAAGAGAGAACGTGATCTCATCCTGCGCCATGTCTTAGCATGATACGCTATGACTGCTACCCGGTCAAGGGGCGCCGGACTACAAACATGTAATTCTGTTATGACTTTTTGAGTCCAAGACATCTATCACAAGCCTCTGATGAAGATACGAAAAGCATGACGGGAAATACTTCTTAGGGCCTTGATAAACTGACCTGCCGAACGGAAAACATGGAATTTTAAGAGCCATTGTCGGTCAATTGGTGAATTAGGGCTATTTTCACGGAATTAATGGAGCATTGAGTTTGGCAGGGGGGCCCGAAGTTCTTCATCCTTTATATATTAATTCGTTATCGCCGCTGCAATTTGCACCAAGCAAACATGGAATAGCTACAGAACTAAAGAAACAGTTTAAAACACACCACAATGCAAAATAAATTATTTGACAAATTTTTACAGATCTTTACCATACCGAGGGCAAAATAAAGTACTGGTAGCATCAAATGAAAGCCTGGGCTTTCTGTGTTGTGAACGGTAAACATATCAATATCCCAGACGTGCCGGAAAACTGCACTTGAGTGGGGTCAAGAGAGTATAATGGGGGGCGGGGGGGAAGGGGGTGTAAAGAAGAAGAGAGTCCCTGGAAACGATGCTGACGCCTCGTTTGAATTAAAGTGAGCAAATAAGACATAGTTGTTTACACTTTGGAGCTAGTTGCCAAGATTTAGTCAAGGGGAAATTAATAGCCATGCTAACGACTATTTTTTTTTATCGGTTGCTTTTTGGTTTTCTGTTTAACTAAGAGATTATAGACAATTTGTAAACTCTCGGTTTATTCTGCATGTTAGGAAACGTAAACTGAAAATCGGCCATTTCTTAATTTCTTACAACCAATGTTCTAAAGCTAGAGTTTTTATAAGACATTAATTGAAAATAATGTGTCATTCTTATGGAAATGCAGGTAATCTTTGCAAGAGGACTTTTCGGAAGCCCAAAATGGCTTTTTATGAGTATTCTAAAGAGACACTTTTTGATGAATTTCCGTCGGCTACAAGTTAATGATTTTTTTTGTCAAAACATTGACATGCTTTTTTCATCAAAAAGCTATTGAAAAAATAAATTAAAGAATCTTTTCGACATATGGCTTTAAAATCATAATAAAGAGCACTCTCTAGATTGTCCAGTGCACCTCAGTGCACCATAATCTAAATGTCATAAACGGAGGGAACAAATCACGGTTTGCAAGGTAAGCAAGCTCCTATTTCCCCACCAGTTTTCAGACTCCTCAACGCCTTGAAACTATGAAATAAGCACAACACATAATTCATCAGCAATCTGATCTAGCTAACAAGCATATTGTGAAAGGAGCTGATATTCAGCGAATGACATAGGCATGCTTAGAGAAAAAGAACTCCGACTGTTCCCAACAGGAGTCGAATCTACGACCGTCAAATGAGTAAGTACTGAGCTATGTGAAGGAGATTCATGGTAGTCGCTTAACTATTTAGGTCCATGATTACAAATTAAACTTCCTTCATATTGCAAGGATAGGAATGTCGATATGTGATGCTTATGAGCATGCAATGCTGATGTTTAGCCAGGTGATTTAAGGTCTTTAATTGAAAGAAGATGTTATTCAGCGAGTGACAGAGGCATACTCGGAAAAGAGAACTCCTCTATAGATGTAAAGGCTCATTTCGTAGTTTTATCATTTGCTCATATTTTTTTTATTAATTTATTGTTGACCTTTGTTACATCGATTCCTGAACTTTTAATAAATCTAGCAATGATTTCACTGTTACGATCATTCCTGATATAACGGATGATAAAATTATAAATTTGAAATTCTGCAACATCATGATGATTTAAACACATAAACACATAAACACTTTGGCAAGTATCAATGGAATGCAAAACTCAATTCTGTGCCTCTTTTTTGCAACTTTTGATATTTCTAACCCCATAAGCAAATGAAAGCACGAATCCTTATGAACTTTATTTGTGCGACGTGTTATGAGATCAAATTTTAACGCAAGAGCAAAGTTTTTGGCCGAAATTTTCAACTTCATACATAGCAAATTGTCGTTGCGACCTGGTTTTCTGGACTTTTTACAACCATCCGAAATGTCACCTTGGGATTGAATGATGCAACGAAAGCGATGAAATGTTTTCCAAACGAGCAAGAGTGACGGTAGTCGAACCAAGGAAACCACAATTTTTTGTTTTTTCCTTGTCCTTGCATTGACGTGATGGCAAATTTCAATGTGGCTAAGCTTAAGTCCAAATTTATCTTTGTGGATTTAGCATTCAAATGTGCGCTTCATTTTCATCTTGATTTTTGTTTGCAAACCATCTTTCTTCCCGTTTCAGTTCGATATACCTCATGATCACATCAATCAATCAATCAATCTATGATGTGCCAAGGCTATCCAAATATGATAAATCTCTCTCATTATGCAGCTGAAAGCGCCCGTAAGCAATATGAGGCGATTCCTGTAATCTGATTGGCCACCCAAACGGGCAAGATGGGCCCATCTTACTCGGATGGGATCGCCCGTCTTGATCTCGCGCAAGAAAAAGATTGCGTGGAGCGGACTTACCAAGTTCGTGATTTTTTTACAATGTCGGCAATGAAGTCGCAAAACAGCGAAGAAAAAATAAAACATTTAAAGACTCTTATGGTTTCACGATCGTGCTACAAATACAGTTCGGTTTCTTTCCCGGCTCTCGAAATAAACAAAAGCAAGTCATTCTTGATTCTTGTTATATTGAAATTTTTTGCTGCATAAACAATCGGTCAATGACCAAGCTTGTTCGGTCAAGATAGCTGGACATTGGCCTAATTTTTTTTTTTGCGCTTTTATGGACCACGACTTCGCCTCGGTCCATTAAAACGCAAAAAATGAACTCAAGCAATATCCAGCCATCCTGACCTCACGCTTCGTCAATAACACATACATGGTATCCGGTAACCAAAAATCTCTGCTAGCACATATTTATCAAGCAGCAATTATAACCGGAATTGTCATCTAGGTCTTTCACGTGCAGATTGCTTATGGGACCCAATCGATATCAGACATAATACTTCGATTTTCTTTTAAGAAAACTAAGAAAAGACTGAGTCGAATTTTTGAATTTCCAGTCACTTAAAATCCTCAAGCCACGAGACTTGATGCTTTCTCTTTTGAAGAAACTAAGAGTGCCAGAACGCGCGGACCATTGATAATAACCGTGTTAGTACCATCACATGATCTATGATTGGAAAGAAAACGGGAAGGCGAATAGATGTATTCCCTAAAACTACAAGGCAAGCTATTCCACGACATACAACTAGAAGGTCACTGTATGATCGATATCTGCTCTCACGGCGTCTCTACCGGTCAGACGTAATTTATCTCCACGTTGCCTATTCATATATTATCTATTATACCTAATCAGCGTTATAATTACAGATATTTTAGGAAGTAGATGTAGAGGTTTATCTCGGTCTACGGAGCAGGGGATGATTTGGAATATCACTACTCCCCTTGGGAGGGATGTTAGTTCATCACAGGTGACCACTCCGACTCACCCACCCTAAATATTTTTTTGCGAGAGGCAGTCAGAGTGAAAAATGTTGACAAAGAACATAACTCAATAACCTTGTAAAGTTGTAAGCCACAAAGGCTTCAAAACAAGTGATTTAGTGCAAATACAAGATCTATTATCTTGCTAACTTTCCCGTTCCCTTTCTTCTCGCCAAGTTCCCGTATGTGACGATGTAAAATTTTAATCCTTAATATACAGAATAAATCAGGTTAATCATCTTTCATTTGTTGATGATTTACCTGTCACGAGGGAAACAAGGTTTGCTTTATCAAGAAATTATCCATTTATCAATTTTTTTAACGATTTTAACCCAAAGTGAAACTGTTTAGAGATGACCGTAATAGCAAAAAATCTTGCTACGAGAAAAAAATAGAAACACTTGAATATTCAAAGAGTTTGACAACCATCAAGTCACCGATATCGGCATCCTTTTCTCCGCGTCTTAGTTTTTTTTCTGAAAATTATTACTCCTACCTTTGAAATGACATCTTAAATTTGCTATCATTTATGGAAGACACTTTTTCATTTAAGCTTTGTCGTGGAATTTAAACAAAAACTCTGGAGGAGGATGCGGGGCAAAATATCCTAACTTCGTGGGTGGTAGTGACATATAGTAGTGACATTATGTCGCTTACAGAGTTGGTGATAAAAAAAACTGATATTTTTCCAATTTTTCGAACAGTTTAGCTGAATTGTTGAGTTTTTCTGTTATTAAATGCAGGTTAAGCGACATTTGCATGAAAAAGACACACGCAAAAAAGCAAATAAACCAAATTATGTTCAGCTAAAAACTTATGAATAACAAAATATTGACAGGTCGGTGTTGTGTGTTTATGATTCTCGGCCCTCTATTACGTAAGAAAGCCACAACATTACTAGACAAAAGGTCTTGGAATGAGTAATTACACACTTCAAGCATCAGAGTGAATGAATCAGTATTCACGTGCGATATCAAGCAGAACACATTTTAACCGCGCGCTCAAGGCCATGTATTGACACGCACCCACTTTTGAAGGTTATCAGTTTGTTCTTGAATAGTCTTTATCCAGGAGGAAAAAGAGGTGTGTAATTTTATATTAACTTACACAGCTTATTTTTCAGTGAGTGATTGTACTTTTTCTCTTCTTTTCGTGTAATGCAGTTAGATGTCGTTGCATAGATTGTTTTGTTCAGCAGTGGGTAACCATTTTCTAGTGGGAATTAATTTTGTTTTTGTTATCGAGTATTAGTATTTTGCACAGACGTATTTGACTGTATAATGTGAGGTTGCTTGTTCGCTTTTTTAACAGATGAAAGAAACATAGCGAAAATCTTTTCAAACGAATTTTCGATGGCATGCCAACAACTAATTGTTCCTTGCTAATTCAGAAACTTGAGGTATAATATTATCATGAGCACAAAATATTCTTATTAATTCTCCTATTCACTTAAAATAATATTGAAGCTTTCGCTGCTTCGAAATATCATGCGATTTCAGCACAAAAAGATTTACAAAGTAATGCATGAAAAGGCCTTTAGTAAATTTAAAGTATAACAACTGTTGAATGTATGGAGAATATTTCGCCATGTGGCTTTGGCAGTAGACTGCAACAACACTTGGAGGTCTTAATGCGGCGATGGCTTTTAAGGCTAACGATCAAAATTTCGGCCTTGTTACGGCTAACGGTTTACCCAAATGACACAATGTAGAAGAGAAGAAAAATTTTTGGTTAACTTTAGTTAAGACTTATGGTTACAATTTGTCAACTTTTACGCCTAACGATTACATATTCTGGCCATTTTACGGCTAACGGTCAACCTCCAAATGACACCCTCTGCCGAGCGATAAATTATTGATAGGTAGCAAATGAATAGAAATTTATAACAACGCATGACAAGGCCGAAACATGACTCAGACATTTATCAAACTCCACATGTCATACATCAGTAGCAATATTGCTTCACTGAAGATTTTTTTATTCCATTTCTGCGTTTAAAGTAGGGAAAGAAGACAAATTTGAGCAGAACAGAGAGTGGAAAAGATATGGGGTTACGATGAGGTGATGGCTTTTCGGGAAAAAGGCCCAATTTTTCGGCTGTTTTGCGGCCGACGATTAACCCAATTGAGACCCTCAAAATATGGATATTCAGTTCCTCTAAAATCTATTTAGTAACAAAATGATATACCTTGACAAAACTCAATTCAACTTTAACAAGTTTGATGACTTTGCGGAATAGTCGAGAGGTAATTGCCCTTGCATTTATAAAACAAACGTTAAGAACCCATTGCGCACGCTGTTTGTTTGTTTGTTTTGTTTTCTTTGAAGGGACATAAGCTTTTCTCATATTAGAGAGCGATTTATTCGTAAAACATTATGGAAAAATCAGACCACGTAATGCATTAATTTTCTCTGAAAAACAAACCAGACAGCAGGAAGGTAAGTACATAATGCAAAAAAGATTTTCATCCAAGATTATGAGGGCAACCGAGATATTTTGAACACGAATAATTCATTAAATTTCCGGTTAAATCTGGCTTTTTCCGATGTCTGGAACACAATTATGAACAAAGAGTGAACTTACGTAAATGCACGCGGGCGTAAACATTAAATTAAAACTTCAATCCGATATCAATCTTGGATTCAAATTATAATTATTTTTTTCACCATCCAACTACAATAATTTTCCCCCCAAAGATCAAATCAGTGCATATGTGGGTTTCGATTAATAGAAAATGCACTTCAAATATTGTCTTTTGTTTTTCCTGCTGTCGTTTTCATGAAAAAAAAAAAACAATTATAAAAATCTAAAATGTTTTGTTTGGGGGATCGTAGGGGATAGTGTTTCTGGTTAAAATTACCAATCCAGTCCTTAACTCTTTACACACTAACATCATTATGCATATTCTCCATACCGTTCTCTATACATTATCTAGGTTCTAAAAAGGAGAATTTGGAAAACCATCAAGAGCTTCGTTAGTTGCTGACCATTTCCTTTGTTCTCATGACTTAAACATTTGATTCAGGGCTGATATTGTAGGGAGAAATTAGAACCTCGTCATTCCTGGGGAATAAAGGGTTAAGGAGCTCTGTCTTGCGTTGTGTGACTCAGTAATAATTGCAATCTGGTTTAATTTATTTGTAAATTAATTGCCATCGCTCGCTAAAATCAGACATCACGTAAATGAACTGGAGACCGCTATGTCTGGTAATGAAAGTGAAAGTAATGAAAATCATGAAAAAAATTGTAAACATTAAGAAGAGGGTAATGGCTTTTTTGGATAACGGTTAAGATTTGTCCATTTTACGTCTAACAAATAATTTCTTTTCATTGTGTTTAATTGAAAAAATTTTGACGATTTACCTTTATTGCGTCTAAATTTATCAATTTTTACGCCTGATGGCTAAGTGTTTTGGCCGTTTTACCGCTAACGGTTAACCCCATTGACATCCTCTTAGACCAAAGATTGGAAGAAAGACAGAATTTCTGAAGGCCCTTTAACTGACAGGCTTACTCAATTTTCGTGTATTGTACTTATCACAGACTCTCCGCCTTCTTACAAATTCGAATCTGGTGAGTACTATTATAAAAAGATTAAGTGAAGTGATAAATTAAAGCCGCCTTCGAAAATCAGCCCCCGCTAGAGTGCAAAATTTTGATTGTGCTGTAATTTGATTTTACCACGCTTACGCTGAATTGTATTCAGACTAGAATTACATTTGTCTATTTCCTCACCATTTCGCAAGACACCGATAATGGACTGAAAATATAAACAATAAGCTTTTAATTTTGTATTTCCTTTTAGTCGATCGGTTTATCAAAAGCGTTGCTAACTGATGACTGACTCGAATTTAAATAAATTTGTTGCTCCAAATTTATCACTGTCATAACTTAATTTCATTCTTTAAGCGCAAACAGTTTTTTATTAGGTTTAAGGCCGGATGAAATCCAGTTATCGCTTTAGCAGTGGAAGGAGAGAAATTTTTTTTGTGAATTTTCTTACGGAAGATTTTCTTTATATTCTATCCTAAACTCTACTTAGGATTGATTCTCTTCTAGCGTTTCCTTCAACATTCAGTCATGACAGCGTGACGAATAAAAGATTTTGAATGCAGTTAGCGTAAGCTAGCAACTTTATTGTCTTCGAAGGTAAGACAAAGTATATTTTGGATCATCCCACAACGAGGAAGTATGCTAAAGATATATTAGATGCCTTATCAGTGAGAGATCGCTGAAGGAAAATTCGCAAACCGTTCTCTAATGTCATTCATGTTTGTTATTCAACAAATATAAACAAAAATTCCTACCGAATGTGTCCAATTCGTCTTTTCCAAATTAAAGTAGCATATATTACATTATACGAATACTTTTATATTATGAAATCATACATTTCCTCATTATTTTTCGTTCTATGTTGATTAATTTTTTGTATACTAAGTGTATTTACACAAGAAACCAGTATATGTATGTATGTAGGTATAGTTTGTGAGCATCGTGGAGATATAGTGTGTGATTAGTATTTCTGTTTTGATACATTGCACTCGATGTGGTTTATACACAACTTCGCTCTGTGTGTTCTTTCCTCGCCTTTAGGTACAAATCATCTTTATGTCGTTATTTTATAGTGAGTGATCATGGAACAGCTGAGCAATAACTTATGACAAGTAAATAATAACGAGGATAAAGAGTCAGGAAACGCTCAGCAAGAACAATGATCTGAACAGCGCGACTGCATCTGATTGGATAAAACCACGAGAATATGTTCAAAAACTCCTGCAGATATCCGCAGTAGAGTTCGTGCCTCAGTATGTGGGTAGCGTTTGGGTTTGTCCTCGTCTCATGTAAGTAAATATTATTCTCATCATCCTACAGCTAGTTTGATATATATTGGTCTGGTATTTGCTTCCTAACAAGAAGCTCTCTTTTTATTTCTAGTATTGATCTTAAAAATTTGGATGGGGGAGAAACATCTGCTAGGAAAATAAAAAATATGAAAAAATTAAACTCTAGCTTTGTGATGAGCTAAAATATGAAAGAACACATTTCGAAAAGAGGTTTCAGCGATGAAAAAAAATGAAACATTTTTTTTATCTCCACATCGTCTCAAGAGAGTGGTTTAACGATGTGTATTTGCTTATTCGAATGATAAATGTATCATCAGATGTATAGAGTTGGTCCTTTCATCATCGTCACAACCAAAATGTGTAAACGAGGTTGCACATCTCTTTTTGGCAAACTGACGTAGGCTGGAATGAAATTCTGTTTTGATGCATCGAAAGATTTTCCACCTTTGTCAGGAAAGCTTGGAAAACTTTGCTAAATAAAATAATGTACGCTATAAAAACAAAGAAACTTTCAGAGACTTGCAAAATCATCCCGAAAATAATACTTTTGTTTTTAAACGGTGGAAGTAACCACTAAATACAACTGCAGCAGAGTGGTTAAGAAACAAAACGCTCTAACTTATGCATAAACTCATAAGAAACATTTCCGTAGTAACCATCTGTTTCAGTGCTATTGCATGATAAGTTCCTGAAGAAACCCTGGAGTATGCTTTTTTTTCCCTATTCATATGCTAAAATCTTGAAACAGTGATCATTTGTTTGCTCGTGTTTCCAGCATAAACGATAAAAGAAATGAATTCCTAATCTCTACGAATCTCAAGTTTAATTCCAAAAAAAAAGTAAAAAGCCTTAATAAGAATATTTTTTGTTGTCTGTTAATTTATTCGTTTGTATGTCGTTGTATGTCGAAAGCTCTGGTTTTGTTTGTTACCGCGCATCTTATGAACCATGGCATAGGTATTTAGCGATGCTCTTATTTTCTAACATTAAGTGAGAAAAAAAATGTGAGTGTCTTGAATTCAAAGATTTGACTTTTATGATGATTTGGCTTTTGTTTTCACACATAATAATTTTTTCCTCACTTTTCAAAATGACATCGCAAAATACTAGTTTTATCAAATTGTCGTCGTTTTTACGCTAAGTTTGCTGCTATTGTTCAAACTTTTATTCTCAGAATAGATTAATATCAACAAAAATCACATATCAAATTATGATGTAAAAATCAATGATGTCTGAGGGGTATTTATACTTTACTAAATGCAAGTTCCGCTCTTAGAGATAAACGCGAAAAGTTTACCCTTACATTATCTCAGATGTAGCAGGCTACACAGAGGCAAGTGAGTACAGTATACATGATGCAAAGACCCTCTGGTCAGCAGCTGCCGAGAACTGCAAGCGGAATGCTTCACTATTGGCTGTGCTTGATTCTCAGTACAAACTCGACCAGCTGGCTAATCGTCTTCCGTCTCAAGGAAACAATAATAGAAATAGGTATTGGATCGGACTTGTTTACAATGGATCGACGGGACAATTATTTTGGAGTTCTGGTGTTGTTGCTGACAAAGTGTTAATAACCAACTCTAGCTGCAGAAGACACCCGACAGCGCTTAAACAAAAGGACTTGTGTTACTTGGTGAAGAAGGGTCACTCTATTTGCTTTGAAAAGCAAGAATGCAACAAGAACCATCGGTATGGTTACATTTGCCAACCAGTTACCAACAGAGGTAATTATTTAATGATAATAACAACTGCGTTTTAGCCCAAAATGCACAACTGACCTAGAACAAACAATTGATTAGCGGCCAGCATTCTAAGGAAGCAGTTGCAAAACATTACGATCACCTGAAAAAAGGAGGAAAATGAATATCGATTTCTCTCATTATTCCAATGATAATTGCAAAATATTTTGTAAAATGCTAAAAAAAAGGATACAAAAATCTCCAGATTTATCCCTGAGGAATTCCCTTGAATCTGACTTTTGAAATTCGACGTTTTTGATATATTAGTATCGCCCACCACCTCAAGTAGTCCAGCACCAACAGTCCAAGGAACCACTTCAAGGCATAATACAGCACCGAAATTTAATGTCTCTGTAGGCCTTAAAAATCCGGTGAGTAGTATAAGCACGTTTAATCAAAAATCGTTCAAGAGATATCTCTTACTTACAGTCTCTTTCCAAGGACATAGTCAAGCGTTTCTATCATCTCTTTTCAAATATAACTGCCTCAGTCTGACGGAGGCCTAACGCATGCAAATTTTTATTTTCAACAGCTGTCGAATTTTTCTTCCGTCATGAGTTCCCTCAATCCAAAAGATCCATTTTCTTTAAAGGTAAGCTCTCACTAGCTCCTGTGCGCTTGCAGGATCTAAGTAAAAACTTTAGCTTCAAACTTTGTCCAGCGAGAGTTTTATTTATGACAGAACAGATCATCGTCTATTATGAATATATCACATATGACGCAACTCATGCCATTATTCTTAAAATTATCATTCACAGCTTGCGACAAATGCATTTAGAGGCTTTGCCGAGTCCTTAAAGTCAAACCGCGATAAAAGAGGGAGGAAAGTTAATTTGATTTATTCCACTCAACTTATTGAAGAGTTTGCATTCAGATACGCGTCCTTCAACTTGAATTCAACCAGGAATGAAGAGAGGACCGAAAACGAACACATAGGTAAATCACCGTCTTCAGGTGACCAAAGGTTTCCAAGGCGCTCTTATCCTCTTTATTCAAAATTTTACGAGATCCTGGTTTGTAAAAACGCAGAAAAGTTGCACTTACCATTTTGCTTGTTCTTTTTTATTTCCAATTTGTAGTCTTACAAGTATCCTTAGTACCAAAGGGTTATCGTCAAAATTTCACATTTACAGGAGCGAAGGGCCTGGACGAAGAAACAAGAATTACTCTTCCTTCTTTTTTATTTCAAACCAAGGGTAAATATGTGAATAAGCAATTTCCTTGTCGAAAACCTAATTCCTCAAGCTTATGTAAATGTATACTGGCATGTGCAATGCTGTTTCTGCTTCAAAAGATAAAAAAAAATGGATGACGTTCAAAGTTTTCAAATTTCTCTTCGTTCCTCGACGTTCCGCATTTGTATTTTGTTCCTGATTATTGATTTAATAGACGCACTGTCAAGAAGTACTCTGTCTCTTCTGTCTGTTATTCTGATTCCCACTTTAGCTATATCCCTAGCAATGTGTGTATTATATCTTTTCCTTCTCGTAAAATTTTTTGCCTTCATTTTCAGAGACTATTGCGGTTAATGTGTTATACAGAGATCTCCATGAATTTCTCGACAACTTGGGCTCCAGGTAATTCCTATTACAGATTTGGTAGTCTTTTGATGTGTATTCATCGAAAAAAGTTGATTGCGTGTCCTTGTTGGGACTTACAATGTTCGCCTGTTTCACAGGGAAGGTAAAATTCACTCCATGATCCTAGGAAGTGACGTTGGACCATCTAAACAGAAAATGTTCACAGAAAACGTCACAATCGTTTTCCACACTTTGGAGGAAAAGGTAAATGAAATAAGGTCACTACTCATTTATATATGACTGTTTTTCTATTTAAAAAATCATCATAATTGAGGTGCTTTTGTCGTTTTAGGGAAAGTACAAGAAATCAAGGCTAGATTGTGTATTCTGGCAGTGGAATAATTCCCTTCCGTAAGTAGGCTATTTTCCGAAATTCGAAGCCTTCGCATTGATCTCAAATTCCCAATTTTAAGACCACTCTTTCATATTAAACAGTCGTGTAAACGGTTTTTAGATCAAAGAATGCTCCTTCTTCGAGATTGTCTATTGAAGCTTCATTTGGAAAAAAAGGTCTTCTTGACAAGTTTTCTCTTTCTTTTGCATTGTGAAAAATCGATGAAAATATATTGACAGCTGTCCTTGTCATAAGTTTAAAAAGACACTTTATAAACAAAGAAGTTTTCTATGTGCTTGACTCGACAAGGACTGTTGTCGAGGAAATTCTAAGTGGGATAGGTTTTCTTTCTGGTTGCTAAGGAAACTTTTAGGTGCAAATGGGAATAAATTGATAAATAATGCGCTTGGTTTTATGACCTGAGTTTGAATGTGATATTGGTTCATTTTCAGAGCTAATGGAAGTTGGTCAGGCGATGGTTGTTCACTGGTGAAATCAAATACGACCCACGTGGTTTGCACGTGTAACCATTTGACGAATTTCGCTATTTTAATAAACATCGAGAAACAAGAGGTACAATTATATATATATATATATATTTATATTGCCTGTGTAGCTAGTTTAAGGGGCTTGAAAAAAAGTGTTTTTCCATTTTTTTTCCCCTACAGTTTCCAGAGGAACACAAGAAAGCCCTCTCCTATATGACGTACGTAGGGGTCGGCATTTCATTGCTCGGCGAGACGGTTACTTTTATAGCATATTTCTTACTTCTGTGAGTACCTATAAATAGACCATTTTTCAACTGATTGCTAAGTTTGTCAAGTCTTTAAATAGGAGACGCTGCTCTTCACAATGTTTATCGTGCGCGAGACCAAAGCGGGCAATCCCGAGCGAGCAAGATGGGTCCATCTTGCCTATCAGAGCACAGGATTCGTTTTACATTCCCCATGGGCGCTGTTGGCGATGTGATAGCATACCATATTGCGTGGGTATAGTTTATTCTTCCTTAAAGCTGACCTTGCCCGTAGAAGGCTTTGGACGAATTAGGCGTACATCAATTATTAGTCGAACGGCGTATCAAGAGTATCATTGTATTTTCTAAAGTGGCTGCCCTTTATTAAACTAACAAGATAATTTTTCCTTCTGTTTTTGTTTATGTTTTGATTTTTCACTTTAGATGTTGCAGTCATGACCAACAAAGTCACGTGCATATAAACTTGGTTGCCACCTTAGCTGTTGCTCAGAGTATATTTTTGGCGGGAATCAACGCCACTCATGATCAGGTGACATACCTTTTAAAGTTCCAATGGTACTTGAATAGCTTTACCTATGATCAAATGACTTATTTACGATCATGAACTCATTTAAGGAATAGGGAGTAAAGCCTGTTCGGCGAATCTGCCCAGGAATGTATTAACAGCTGAATAGTGTCTTCAGCTAAAAAAAAAAAATAAATTACCTAATTTACTTCACACGCTTAATCTATTTCTCAATCTATAAATTTTTAACTCGTATGGTTCTTGCATTCCTGTGAGTAGGGCTTTGAAGCCAGGGCATAGCATATGCTGACGAGATAATCGACTAGAATTGTGGATAGGGTCTTGATAAGGATAACTGAAAGAAACATGAGAATCTTTATTTTTTTTTTTACCAAAAAATATCGTTTCAATGTGCGAAAATATCTCAGGATTTACAAAAGCTATCTTATCCTCTTTAGGTACTATGTATAACTGTTGCTGCTCTGATTCATTACTTCTATTTGTCATCCTTCTGTTGGATGCTAATAGAAGGTGTTATGCTGTATCTACTGATCATAGAAGTCTACAATACTGAGCTCAGATTACGTCTCTGTTATCTGTTTTCTCTGGGTAAGTATTCCTGAAAGGTGAGTCGCTGACCACTTCCCACACTTGGGATAAAAGAAAACGACTCATTCCCTACATTAACATACTGAAAGGAACAGCAACAAACACACCTAATTTCAAAGGGGGATGGATGTTGGCCAATCAAATTGATTTACAGCTAAAAGTGTTGGCCAAAACTGACCAATCAGTATCACGATCTAACTAAAGGCCAAAGTTCGAAACGTCAGCTTTAGTAACTCTTTATGGTGACCAATTTAAATTATCAACTCAGTTCATAAAACAAAATTAATTCCTTGAGAATGTTCACTTTGGTACTTGTAGGCTTTCCAAGTCTTGTTGTTGGAGGAACCCTGATATTTGCTTCTTTAAACGAGCCGGGTATAGACCAGTACATAAACAAAAATTGGTAAGAATTATTCACGTATTTCTCCTAAAACATCATATATCTAAAAGTAAAGCACTTCGCCACGACAAACATAATTTAGCTAAAATCCGTATTCGTAGATTTTGCTTCGTTTGATCAATCGATCGAACGAATGAATGAAAAACCGAAGGAACAAGCGAGCGAATGAACTACAGATCAAATGAACGAAATGACTAATGAAAGATCAAACGACAATAGCACGAATGAAACAAGACTAGAATTTCACGAAAATATGAATCAAAATATGTATCATGTACTATTATGATTATACCTACCTCGTAAAGGGAAGTAATTTTAGTTACAACTTGTTTCAGGTGCTGGCTTTCAACAGAGAATTATTATATATGGTCGTTCGCTGGACCAGTAGTAGTTATAAGTTTTGTAAGTATAAATACTGTAAAAGAAATTCACGACACCTTTCGAAAGACTCAATTATATTTATAGAGAGGCGATCAGTGTTCTGGAAAACCTCGTGATAGGACGTAGCTTATGTTGGTGGCGTGATCTTTTAAGACGGGCGCGTCACTTAAGTCAGGCGATTGATAACACCTTAACCGTACTGAAGCTGTAAAAGTTTTTGTTTCTTTACTATATGTAGTAAAAAACCTTAAGGACCAGTAATTTATTGCGGTTTGTCTCTATCCAGGTGAATATGGTTGTGTTTTGCATTGTTGTAAAAGAAATGGTGAACATGACGAGCATGCAGTCAAATAAATTAAGCCGAGTCAAGTGAGTATCAGTAATGAAGTAGTTGTCCACTCTTTCGCCTTAACTCTTGATGTACACAGAGAGACACATGTACACGTGAAAGACCTAATTTTGGAGTGGCTATAAACGAAAATTTTGACGTAGGAACCAAGTATAGGTTAAATGCGATACAAAGGCTACCATATTACTTTGGCTTAATTTCAGTGCCATGGCCATGAAATTAAATGAAGAAAAGTAGAAATCGTCTTTAATTTCATCTGGTACAACTGGCGTACAAACGAATAACGAATAGAGGCATTTCTTGTCATCAAAACTGCTTCGTGTGAGAGCTGCTTCATTTTCAAACTGAATTCATTTCTTTCTCTGAGAGGGAAAAGGTTGACCAATCATAACAATTTGACGTTTTCGTCTACGTTTTATCCCAGGACAACCGTAAAGGCTTGCATTGTGTTGTTTCCTCTGTTGGGGGTCACGTGGCTCTTTGGGTTATTGAGTATGATAAATTCCAGTGTCACGTCACAGTACATCTTCACTTTACTGAACTCTCTTCAGGTGAGAATATAAAATACTGCTAAACAAAAAAACTTATTCTTTTGCGTGTATTTCAGACTAGTTTAACTCCAACATTTACTGTGCTATGTAAAGTGCCACTACACATTGAGGTGGATCATTTGATTAGCTGCAAAGGATTTTGAACAAGTTTCTGTGTTCTCAGAAATGGATTGGAAAATGGTTTTGAATGTTGATAGATCCTTCTGAAATACAAATCAAAAGTAGCAAGGAGTTTAAGGAAAACAAAATTGACAAAATATACGTCAAATAAGAAAAGATTATAAAATCCATTACGTGGATATGATTCCTTACACCAATATTAATTTTTAAAATTATTATTAAGAATACTATTAGTTTCTTAATGATGTAAGTAATGCGTGATAGCATTAAAGATGATGAACGATATCCTCATTTAGCTAGTTCGTGATAAATAGTTCACACAACAAAGAAATTTTTCTTTAAACGCAAATTAAGTAGCTACGAACTTAAAGGTCGACGCAAATAGTAATCCATGCTGGCAAGACAGAAAATTATCTCTCGAGGCTGAAACATTGATCTTTAATTTCTAGTATTCTCTGAGCTTGACTGTTTATTCGCATGAGCAACCATGGCAAAAGGAAGCGGTTGGAATTCTAAACATGTTTATTTAATTACTTTCCTCCTAGGGATTGATGATTTTCATTTTTCACTGTGCGAGAAATACTGAGGTAAGATTTTCCTGATCGCATTTGCTCATACCTAAGGTAAGTGAAAAATACTACTGACCAAATCGGTAAAGAAACAATGTTAAGGGCTCCATGGGAAAAGGTACACTTCATATGTAAATAATAGTTTTAGAATTCTTGTTCTCACACTCTTAATGAAGTCACAACCTGTTTCCTTGACAACAGAATAGGATGAATAAAAGCCAGATTATGAAATTGTCGATGCCGAGAAAAACTAATCTTGAAAAAGTTTTCTCTCTCATTCCTCTAGGTTAAACTTGTATGGAGCAACAAGTTACAAAGGATGAAGAAACGAGCTTGTCACTTTTTTAGAATCCAAGGCCCTTCCCAAACCAACGTAAGCGGAGAAAACATTTCAGACAAAAATAAACCTTCTGAAGTAGAACTTAGTAGAAGGAAAAGCAAGATCGCTCCTGCTGATGGATAGGACAAACAATCACGAGCGATCACGTTCACGCAAACATATCATCACGTCCGAGGTGAAACTTCCAGGAAGGAACGACAAAAATTACTTTAATTAATCGATACGAGGAGGTATCGTAATCACAACCAAGTTTCTTCATGACAGCAGTGACTTTGATTTTGAACGAGCGTGCTGGAGACGAATTTTTTTTGTTCACCTAAGATAAACCACATCAAGACATTTAATGCAAAGCAAATACTTCATGATAGGAACAATTTTATCTTGGAAAATGATGAAGTCTTGGACAAAACTGACTAATCGCCATAATCATCTGTCTAATCAACTCTCAGGTCACGTACGTCGATAATTTACATATTGTAAGCTAAGGCAAAATGTATTACCTTGAAAAGGAATCTTTTTTTTTGGAATATAGATATGTAGTATAAGTTATAAATCATAACATTTTAATTTTCCGAGAAATTTTCGTTTATGGAGAACAAAATCGAGGGAAAATAGTAAATTAGTAAAAGGAAGTGATTCTGTAAGCTAATCGCCTGGGTATTGATATTGAGAGTTCAATCAATTATTTGAAAATTTATTCACAAATAGCCTAAGTAATAATGATTAGTTGGAATCAATTCTCGGATATTTTTTCACATAGGAAGTCTCAAGTCTCTCTGAAAAAACAAAGAATATTACCTAGTTTAAAACATGTCGATCTAATTGATAAATACAAGAACTAGTTCACATATTGTGCAAATTCCCCTCATCGAAGTGAAAAACTCGAAAATCCTGAAGATCCCCTTCTCCACCAAAATTAGAAAGGTTAATTCACCAATCAAGCCAAGTGTCTCATTTGTCGTAAACTCAACCCGGTATCAAGGGCATGGTGCGCCAAGCAGAGCTTGTCCCCAGACCTCTCGATCAAACGTTTAGCCCGACTTCAGTTTTTCCTACATCTCGTTATCTCGTCACTATTACAAAATGTGGTCCATCACAACGGTCATTACCGATGAAACTTAACTTCAGAATGAAATATTTTCCAGTACTTAAACTTTAAACATTACTGCGCTTTACTGGGAAGATCACTCTCATATTCAGAGTTGCAAATGTTATGAAGCTCTCCAGATGATCAAAATGTCTATCTATCTGTACTAATCCAGACCGACAACTGACAAGGTGTTTGTTGATATAAATGGGGAGTTGGTCCACACCAAGCGGAGAATCGTGACTTCTGTCATTTGCTACCTTGGAAACCAAAGTCAAGCAAAAATTTATTTGAAAACAGACTTATATACTTTTTATTTATGATTCAAGAAGAATTTAATTATATTACTTTGCGGTCAATGAAATTTGTTATTTTACTAGATGAAACTTATTAAGGATTTAAAACTGATTCATTCTTAGAAAAAAACCGACGCTGTTTGAAACTCTTTAAAGCTAATGATCACTATATCAATTATCGTCTTTGTTGTTGGCGCTCTCTTAAATCAGCGTGAAAAGAAGACATTTTTCGTTATCCTGCTGTTTCATGCTATTGATGCCTAAGAATTTTATCCGAAATTGACTTTTGTTCCTTCACTTACATTTTTTTTCTATTTGTGTTTCAAACATTGAAAACGCAATTCACGGCCACATTCATCGAGCAAACGAAAAGATAGTATTACCAATGAATAAATTTTCGCTACCATCAAAACTCTTTAATTAAAATTGTTTTCGTCGAACCAAATTCAATGAAGTTTGTACTTGGCTGAAATAAAATTTTCTGTGTCTGTTGACTAAGTAAGAAAATTATTATTCGAGTGATATGGTCTCTCCAACAAACCGTATATACTATATATTATTATTTTAACAGTAGCAGTTGCAATTTAAAAGTAATGCTGAATTAGTTATATTTTTGTGGGAAACAATATATTGACATCCGGTTCTGATAAGTGTCCAAATGGGAGCAAAAAGTAAACTTCCTTCCAATGAGTTGTCTCATTTCATTTTTAGGTTGAGTACTTTTCACACCCAAACGTTCTCCTCGATGAGTTGGAAAACAGTCTACAACTGATAATCTGTCAGAGAAAAGCTTTAAAAGTAATTACCCAGAACCCAAGGGAGGATACTGTTCAATTTTTTTGTGAAAAGTACAGCATGTTGGTTTATTCAGTGTTAACGTCGTGGACTTTTTAATTAAAATATTAAATTAAAGGGGTTAAATTGATCTTTTAGCGTAATGGAAAAGCGTCAGTTCTGATGCAAATTACAAAAAAAAAAAAGTGTCTTTGTTTGTGACATTAGCAAACTTTGCAGTCTGGAACATTCGGTTTATTGAACAAGGAATTATTTGATTTTAAGGAAGCGACGAGGTGTTCAAAATTGCATGGCTGAAGAATTGTTCCAAGAAAAATTGAGATCCAGCTAGCATTTTCTCTTCTCAAGAAGCTGTAGACGTAGTTAAAGCCAGTGCGTTGTTTCGCCCACAAAACAGAGTGACAGAGAGAAACAGTGCAAGGTTTGATGAGGACAAGTTTCATTTTATTTTTTATCGATGAAAGACTCACCTGACGTTGGCCGTCAAGGAAGATGAGCATGTGGGCAGGTCGAAAACAAAAACTCAAACAAACACAGTTATTTCTACATTTGTGTCGCTTTCGCTAGAACGAACTGAACTGGACAAAATCTTAAGAGGTGAGGCATTTGAGGAGAGAGGAATGAAACTTTTCAAAAGAGGCTTCTTTGTTTTTCGACATTTTTTTGTCGAGTTAAATAATCGAACACTTATTCGCTGTTAATTTATTATAATTCATATCATATTTTGAAGAATACGAGCATCGGCGAGTACAGCCATGACGGATCGTTCACTTTCGTTAGTTTGCGTGGAATCGTTCATGTTTCTCATCATCAACATTGCAGCAATCATTGGGAACACGTTTGTCGTTGCTGCCATTTCAAGAAACAGGGATCTTCGAAAAATTACTCACTGCTACATTTTAACCTTGGCAATTTCTGATTTGTTCGTCGCAGTCACTTGTATGCCGTTAACTTTGGGTGCTTCCCTGAAAGGTCGCTGGCTTTACAGTGACATCACATGCCAGCTTCAAGGTCACGTGATGCAAGTGTGGGCGTGTTTTTCTTTGACAATCGTGTCAGTGACCGCCATTAATCGATATTATCGCGTTGTGCGACCCATTCGTTACAGAAAAATCTTCACCAAGCGATTTACACTGGTAACTACGATCTCCCCTCTCGTTATTTGGGCGTGTCTGGACATCGGAATGATGTCTGTTATGGACGCCCGTTTTAAATTTGCCCCACATTTTTTCTGCACGCCTTATCTCACAAACAAGCTCATGAAGAGGGCTGTTGCTTTGCCTATTTATCTTTCGTTTATCGTAGTCGCCCTGTTCGTAGTTCTGATTTGCTATTTCAAGGTTTATCGCGTTGTTCGTAGACATGTGATTCTGGTTCGTCCAAATATTGTAGGAGCATCGTTTCAACCCGGAAATGAGAACAAACTTTCTTGTCGCGTCGATGAGATCAATGCTACAAAAATGGTTTTCGTTATAATTATGGTCAACTTCCTTCTCTGGATTCCAGTTTGTATAATCGGTGCGCTGTATTTTTGCGACATTGTTATGCCAAAATGGACGCATTTGATGTATGATTACTTGATGTTCATAACAGCTGCGACAAATCCGCTGATTTACGGACTCATGAACAAGGCTTTTAGGGACGAGTATCTTCGAATTTTGAAGTGCAAGAGGAGCGCGAACAACATCAGCTAGTTTGGCAGATTTTGGAACTGTGTAACACACTGAGTTCTACAACAGGTGATGTCTAGGTTACTCCCACAACATGAAGTGAGGAGTAAAAAAGCCTCATGTCTGAGTCACTAGAAACTTGTGTCGTGACGTTTGGCCACATTTTTTAACCTGTGTTCTTATAGAATGCAATGACAAATTAAAGAACTTAATGGTGCCTTAAATATAGCATTTAGAGTTAATAAAGTTCCCGTCAGTTAATTATTTACAGTTTTTTTAGATTTTTTTGTCTCTGTTCGTGTTTTCCGTCAAAGGCGGCCAAAAAATTATCGCGGTAACTCGGCGATTTATTAGCTATGCCAGGTCGTAGCACCCCAAGCCGCGCATGTCTATATATTTTTGACCCTGAAAACTTTTGAAGCTCCAGTTCATATCTCTGTAGAACGAGTCCTTTTTTTTCATCAGCGCTCAGAACATTTTTGCCACTGACTTTGTTCCTCTTAAATTAAAAAAAGAAAAAATATATATATATATGCTTTCGACTGTATGCTGTTTTGGTGTATTTGAGTGACCGTGTTTTGCATAGTCTTCTTTGACAACAGAAACTGTACAATTAAAAGTTTAATTCGGGAAAAGCTACAGGAACCCATGAGTTCATATTGGAACGATGGTTTGACAAAAAAATTCATTGACTGAAAAGGCTCTCTGAAATTTCATTTCAGATTTAAGTTCCATTTAATTCGAGAAAAGCCGCAGGAATCCGTGAGTTCCTGCTGGGAGGACTTTCAGTTTACCATCGAACACATTCAGTTCTTTCTAAAGACTTGAAACTCTCTATTCAAAGAGATCAAACAGAGTCTCAATGTGTGTCATAAACAGTTCAACAAAACAACTCATGGATTAAAAAAGCACTCTGAAACCTCATTACAAGTTCAAGTTCAAGTTTCTTTTTTGTCGCTATGAATAAAAGTACTGGTGAAATGAAACTGTCAGCGTGGAAGCTATTGAGAAACTACAGGGTTTTTCTTTTAAATGATGGTCTTCCACTATATTATCTATCATTCACAATTTAACACTAGAATAAAAAAGAAATCAATGGTGTAGGTCAACCAGAACTAACGCATTATTTAAAAAAAAAACCCATAAGTTTGTAGGTTTAAAAAGGTTAAAACTAAATAAGTGAAAAATAGCAATTAAAAAAGCTTCCGCTTTCATTCTCAGTTCGTCTCGCTTTGACAATATTCCCATTACAAATTTTCCATTTCCTTTAATTTAGATTGCAAGAAGATCACCATAGCAATCAATAATAATATTGTTCGTGCCTGAGGTTCTAATTCGATTCGAGAGAAGGAACATTTATTTTCACCTCTGTTACTGAAACATATACTCTGCCCATGTGTCAGTTTTGCCACTGAATGACTTTTGATGTTTCGGCAGGTTTATTGTTTTAAACATCTTGACCGTGATTAACTAGTCTAATAAAAACATATGCCCTTGATCTAAAATTAACTCTTCAAACCACAATATTAAATCCGCAGTTAGCTGTTATGACTTTCCTTGAAAACTCGATCAAAAAAAAATCGGTGTCATACCCTGATGAGACTCTTTGGGAGATAAGTTTAACTTTTTCATCTCCAATGTTTTAAAATGAGTCAGTGTTGATATTGTACGAAGAGGTTTCTTTACAATCGCTCGTGAAGACTTTTTTTGGCCCAAGATATTATAACTATTGAGAATAATGGAGAAATCCTCAGCAGCTTTTTATCAAGACAAACTAAAAGAGGGACTACTCTATATAAAATCTAGCTCACCCGAAGAAAAGTAAACATCTAAACGTGTTAAAACAAATAGTCCATTCTTCAAGATATTTTTAAAAGCAGACTGGTGATTTTTTTTAACTACTTTCCACAAAGCTTTACTCTGGTTCTTCTTCCACTAAAATATGTTTTTCCTTTCCATTTCTAGCGCTGCTTCCAACACTGGTGATGAAAAAGCGATCCTCACCCCATATACCGGGAAAAGGTGTCAGTCTTCGCGGTGGATTATCTTCGTTGCTCCTCGACGGCTTTTTTCGTGGTATCATCGGGGAAGCTTCGAAAAACGAAGCACTTTTCGTTGGTGACAAACTTATGTTCTCGCTTACTGTCGATGATGGTGGAGCTATCACGATCAGTCCTTTTTTGGGCATCAAACTAGGAAAGGTAGTAAATCCCTGAGATCGCTCTAGATTCTTCTCGTTCGAGTTTGCTTTGATGTCAAGGCATGGAAGAGATTCTTTTGCTGCTGTTTGCGGGTTGTGTCCTTTTCCCTGATTTCGTTTCAAAAGCGATCTTGATTCGTGGAATATCAGAGGGAATCTTGTCTTTTGGAGGTCGTTCTTTGACTTCATGCATATGTCTTTAGTGAAGACATAATGCTTACTTTCTTCCACTCTCTTTAAAACAGAATCGCGCGTAATTTCATCATATCTGCTCTTGTCATAGCTGGCTTGCTTTGGAGACCTTTCTCGTTTCCTTCTTCTCTGCCCTTGATCTTTAACAAATGAGCGGGACTTTCTTAACTTCTGACCGGCTGAGCCTCGTTCATCCTCCTCAGACGGATATGAAACCTTTTCCATATCGGTTTGAATTTCGATGAAGTGAGATACTCTCGAAGTCTTCGCTTTCAAAGAATAACTGATTGCACTTCGCAACAACTTGCCCCAAAGTATTAGTATCTCTTTTTACCCCGCCTCTGAGTCAAGAAGAGAAAATTCATGCCTCTAACAGCGTGTTACGCGAGCGGCTTTAATCGAAATTTTTTAAACCTTGTTCATTAGCTGTAACTGAAATTTTGAGTCATGTTTGTACGTAACAAAGCCACTAGCAAGTATTTAGAGCGTAGCAACTCTGGTAATTCAACTGTCGTAATTATCCTAAGCTGCAAACGACTTTGACTTCACACATTTCAGTTGTAAGTTTAGTTACGCATTTCCTCGTCAAATCACGTATTCTGGTACAACATTGTTTAAGATTTATGCATGTAAGTCAGTAGATTTCTCAAATTTGCGTTATCCTGTACATTTCTCGATCAATTGATTTTTAAACCAATTTCGGCTCAAATCGAGTTACTTTCAACTTAAGGTCGAGAGTACCTCCAAAATGCTTGGATTTTGCTGAGCCTTGCTTTGTGATTGGCCAACCAAACTTACAAAACCCTTCCAATTAGATGAAAAACCAAAACTACCTGTGACTTGATCAGTGTGGTTTTCTCACGCTTCACGTAGTTTGCTTTTTCGTGCCTTAAATTCTCACCTTTTCTTTGTAATAGTTTCCTATTGTTTGGCCTTTGTAGCCTTGTTTAAAAAGCAGAACTGTTTTACAAGGGTGTCTCTTAAAAAACACTTCCCCTGTCCTATTAAAAACTTGTTTCTGTTACAAGTTGAAATATACATAGAATTTTTGCTAGACTGATGCACAGTCCTGAGCAAGTGATTTGATAATAAGCTCGGTTACAAAACTCATCGTTGATGTTCGAGAAAAAACAATTTTTTTAAGTAAACTAATTCCTTACTTTATTTCTGCCAGTTCATTAGTGCAACCAGCAGCGATTCTGCATCAAATAAGTTCTGATTCGACATGACGCCCATTAATTCAAATCCTTTTGATTCACCCTACTTAATGACTTTCTGCATCTAACAGGCGAGCGAAGTCCATCCGAATTTCTGGGTAACTCTTGCGAGTTTTGACGACTTTTCTTTGTTAATAAATGAATAGAATTCAATTCCCTTTTATCCGACATCCTTTTACCATCTGAATGGATCGGTAATTCAGGAAAGCAAGATCCGAGAGTCTCGACCGGGCGAGGTTGTTTGAAGTCACAACCATTAACCATCTTCTTAAACGCAGTATTTGTTAACAAAGGTAACGAACTTGAGCTTTTCAAGAAAGGTGCACACGAAACGGCAGTTTTATGTTTTGGTGGAAAGTGCGTTTCTCTCAAAGGTGGTAATAAAATTTCCGTAACCTTACAAGCGCTCGCTATTCCCTCGTTATAACTGGAATCGTCTCTTAGTTTACACGCGTCAATATGTGGTAGTTTGACACTCATTTTGGGTTCTTCACTTTCCTGACCAGAAAAAACACTTAGTTCCTCTTGTTCCAACATAGAAATGAAACGAGAACCTTGTGGCGATCTTGCCGTCGTTCCTTGTCCCGACAAAACAAACTGAGAATCTTTCGACACGCATTTCCTTTCTTCAGAAGACGATACCTTGTCGCCTTTTAAATCATTTATCTCTTCCGTTTCTGCCTCAATCATCTGTGCTTTCTCTTCAATGATGTATCCTAAATCCCTTGTGAAGTCCTGATCTGTTGCTCTGTCGAAAGCTTATTTATTTAAATACTTCCAGTCGACGAGGAAACATTTTTGCGTTTTCCATAAGTGTTCGAGCAGCAGACTTATTTCTTGTACAAATTGAAACTTAATTTTTATGATATGAAAGGCAGATAAAACATAAACAATTTCAAGCGAAGCTCAAATATATTGCTTCACCCAGAACCTTGTACAACAACAATTATGTACAATTTGTATTTTGCCTAGCGACAAGTTGCTGGAGGCAGACGTCTGCAACTTACAAAAGCTTTCATGAAAACAAAACAGATCATTAACACGTTTGATCTAAAGCAATATAATTAGATGACAAGGTCTGGCTTTAATGATTACAAAGGAAAAGAAAAAGGGAGGGGATGTGATTACAGATACAGAAAACTATCTATAAATCGACAGTAAATTAGCGCAAAAAAAAAAAAACGAAAAGAAAAGAGAAAAATAGCGATTACTTAACAATGATTTAACACTGGCTAGTGATAGACGGGAAAACCAACAAGACGTTCCGACAGAATGCCGGATGGTCAGAGATTAATGATGCAATTTGTGATGAAATAAATTTCATTTGATCTGCGGATTGAAAATCAAATAAAGC